TAAGATCATACATTAGACTATAGTATTAAGTCTAGATCAGACCAAAGACTAGAATGTTAGTTTTTACTATGGGCTGCACAATAGTATTGACCAAGCTATAGCCTAGACAATTGACCAGACTATAGTCAAGAGTATAGACCAAACTATACTTAAGACTATAGATCAAACTAAAGTCCTGATTGTATACTAAACTATATTCCAGACTATAGACCATACTATAGTCCAGACTATATACTTGACTATGGTCGAATTCATAGACAGATTATGGTTTAGACATAGAGCAGAATATGGACGAAACTATAGTTCAGAATATATTTCGGACTATGTACTATAGGATATAGACTATAGTACAGATTATGGACTATAGTTCAGACTATAGTCTAGACAATTGAGCAGATTATAGTCAAGAATATAGAAGAAACTATACTCCAGACAATAGACGAACCCTAGTCCAAACTATAGACCCATAGAACAGACTTTAATCCAGACCATAGCAAAGGCTATAGACCAGACTATAGTTCAGATTATAAACCAAGTTATAGTATAAATTATAGACTCTAGCTGAGACTATAAACCAGGCCATATCTGCAGTTTTGATCTTTTGCCAACACTTAAGTCTTTAGTTTGAATTATTGTCTACCCTATAGTCCCTATAATCTAATCATTAGACGAATTTAAAAGAATTAAAAAATATAAAATATATATATATAAAATATATATATATATACCGTGTTAAAAAGTGCATACTGTTTTTGAACCACCTTATAGATTATGTTCATAAGAATAACAATAAACAAAAATCCATTCAACAACAAACCAATCAAACATCAATATATTTATAGTTAATTATTAATGGTTTGACGTAAAATCGATCGGATGTCATTTTAAAGAAACGCAATGTGTAAAATTTAAATTAAAGTTTAAGTGTTAAAAGTAGAGTTGATTATTTGTGGAAAATAATTCGTTAAGTAAATAAGTATGATAATGATAGGACAAATAAATATTAATAAAATAATTTATGCGCCACTCAACAATTCTGGCAAAAGCTGGGCAAAACTCTGGTCTGAGGTTGATAGCGAAATGATAATCATGAATTTAATGATGATGGCGGCGTTGATAACGATGTTATATTTTTTAATAACTCTATGATGATGATGTGATATAAATAAGAAGTGATTATTTTGTTATTAATTTTAATTGTTTATTGATTTTATAATTGAAAACGAGAGATAATTATATTGCGTATGTACTTATGTATGTACGAATGTTTATGACCACAAAATAATGTGAATTTTAAGAAAACAATTTAAATTTTAATTTGTATCAACACATTTTCAATTAAAACACTAAAATGTCGGCATGTGTAATCAAGTGTTTAATTCAAACTAAAATGCCATTTATTTTGTAATTGTGTGCAAAAGTGTTGCAACTATTTTTGGCCTCCAAATCCTAAGGGGGAGTATGAAAACGGTGTCATACATTTGTGTCCTGGATAATTACGCTTACTTACGATGACAGGCTACACTTGTGTTTAAGACGAGAGAAGACAGATGGATTTTCAATTAAAGGGATTTCAATGTAAATGTTTGTTACAACTGAATGTGTAGAAGTTTTCTTGTAACTTTAGTCCCATTAGTTTGCATATGACATTTAATTGGAGATTTGTTTATAATAATGTAGGCGACAATGGATATGGAAAAAATATCTTTTTTTGCATTTGTGGCGACACGAGTCGAGTAAACATTTAAGAATATTGTCTTAAACTGGTTGATGTAGACAGCTGTTTTGGTAACATCTGTCAAATCTGTAGTTTATTATTTTTTGAACTTGAATCTCTTACATCTATATGGAGCGAAGCAAGAAATCGCAAAGTAGAGAACTTAATATTTCAATTTTAAAGTTTGTCGGATATGTTGAAACATATGTTTCTATATAACAGCAATTTAAAGTTATTTTTGGGAAAGTGGCCTTTCACCAAAATAAGTTTTAGTAAAACATGTTTTCTAGTAATAAAGTATAACAAGAAGAGGATCAAAATTATTACTTCATACTAATATCGTAGCTGAAAGCAAATGTTCACCGACTGAGTGCCGAAATAGACTATCTCGTTCTATTTGTAGACTAGCTATATTATAAGGCGGATTGCAATCGCAGTCGAATTTTCCATAACTAGTCGTTTTCCAATCGAGAGAGGAAACTGTTATTAGTTTTAGAACTAAAAGTTATTGTTAGCCGAAGATAAATACCTAAAATAATTTATTTCATTCCTAGACTAGACTATAGACTAGACTTTAGACTAGACTATAGACTGGACTAAGACTAGACTATATACTAGACTATAGACTATAGTCTGAGTATAGACTAGATTATATACTAGGGACTATAGGACTAGACTATTAGACTAGACATAAGACTAGATATAGACTAGACTATAGACTAGATTATAGACTAGCTATAGACAGACTATAGACTAGGACTATAGACTAGACTATAGACTAGACTATAGACTAGGACTATCGACTAGCTATAGGGACTAGACTATAGAATGACTATAGACTAGACTCTCGACTAGACTATCGACTAGACTATAGACTAGAATATAGACTAGACTATAGACTAGACATAGACTAGACTATAGATGATATAGACAGACTATAGACAGGCTATAGACTATAGACTAGACTATAGACTAGACTATAGACTAGACTATAGACTAGACTATAGACTAGACTATAGACTAGACTATAGACTAGACTATAGACTAGACTATAGACTAGACTATAGACTAGACTATAGACTAGACTATAGACTAGACTATAGACTAGACTATAGACTAGACTATAGACTAGACTATAGACTAGACTATAGACTAGACTATAGACTAGACTGTAGACTAGACTATAGACTAGACTATAGACTAGACTATAGACTAGACTATAGACTAGACTATAGACTAGACTATAGACTAGACTATAGACTAGACTATAGACTAGACTATAGACTAGACTATAGACTAGACTATAGACTAGACTATAGACTAGACTATAGACTAGACTAGACTAGACTATAGACTAGACTATAGACTAGACTATGACGACTATAGACTAGACTATAGACTAGACTATAGACTAGACTATAGACTAGACTATAGACTAGACTATAGACTAGACTATAGACTAGACTATAGACTAGACTATAGACTAGACTATAGACTAGACTATAGACTAGACTATAGACTAGACTATAGACTAGACTATAGACTAGACTATAGACTAGACTATAGACTAGACTATAGACTAGACTATAGACTAGACTATAGACTAGACTATAGACTAGACTATAGACTAGACTATAGACTAGACTATAGACTAGACTATAGACTAGACTATAGACTAGACTATAGACTAGACTATAGACTAGACTATAGACTAGACTATAGACTAGACTATAGACTAGACTATAGACTAGACTATAGACTAGACTATAGACTAGACTATAGACTAGACTATAGACTAGACTATAGACTAGACTATAGACTAGACTATAGACTAGACTATAGACTAGACTATAGACTAGACTATAGACTAGACTATAGACTAGACTATAGACTAGACTATAGACTAGACTATAGACTAGACTATAGACTAGACTATAGACTAGACTATAGACTAGACTATAGACTAGACTATAGAATGACATAGACTAGACTATAGCTAGACTCTAGACTAGGAATAGTGATATAGATAGACTATAGATAGACTATGATAGATATAGACTGCTAAGACTAGATATAGAAGACTATAGACAGACTATAGACTAACATAGATAGAATGACAGCATAGATAGATATAGATAGACATAGATAGATATATAACAGCTATAGCTAGACTATGACTAGACATAGACTAGACTACGTGATATAGACTAGATAAGCTAGAAATGCTAGATATGATAGTATAGACAGACATAGACGACATAGATAGATATGCTAGATATAGACAGACATAGACTAGACTATAATAGACTATAGAAGACTTGATGACATAGACTAGCTATAGACAGATTAGATGACATAGACTAGACAAGATAGAATAGACTAGAATTATAGCTAGACTATAGACTAGACTATAGATAACTAGACTATAGACTAGACTATAGACTAGACTATAGACAGACATAGACTAGACTATAGAACTAGACTATAGACTATAGATAGAAATAGACTAGACTATAGTAGACTAAAGACTATAGACTAGACTGTAGGACTAGGACTATAGACTAGACTATAGACTAGACTATAGGACACTAGACTGTAGACTAGACTGTAGACTAGACTGTAGACTAGACTAGTACTATAGACTATACTATAGACTATACTATAGACCACTATAGACTAGTCAGTTTAGTTTGTAAGTCTAGGCTATAGACTAGACTATAGACTAGACTATAGACTAGACTATAGACTAGACTAAACTATAAACTAGACTATTGACTACTAAACGGACCATATATCAGTAGTTTATAAATTTAAAAGTACCGAGTATTTTACGATATCAAAAAGTACTATACTATTGAATTTTCCATGCCTGCTTTACACTCTAATAATTGTCTACTACTGCAAAACTCTTATACGCACTGTTATTTACATACGTTTAAACAATTGAAGAAAAAAAAAAATCCAATGAGTTTGTATGTTAAAAAAAAACTTACTTTACACTAGAAGAAGAGCAAAAGTAATAATAATAATAATAAAACAATAACAACAATTAAGTAAATACATATTTTGATTTTCTACTTTGTTTTGATTGAGTTACTCGTCTTTTTTTGTATGGGGTTGTTGTTGCTGTAACGAGTACTTAGTTAGTGAGGGTATAATAACGATCGTATTCGTATTGTTTTTTATTATTTTGCTTGATTACTTACGTTTAGGCGTTTAGTTGCTGCTGCTTTACAAATTTAAACGTTAAGTTTAAAAATTTTGTTATTTTGCTTGCTTCGAATGCTTATTTAAGAAAAGAACGTTTAATTGTTGTTGAGGTTGGGTGGTAGTGTTTGATGTTGTTGTTGTTATTAAATGTGAGGGAGCTAATTGAAAGTAAAATTCATAGCAACAACAACAAACCTAATATTGAAATTAAAAAAAAGTAACAACAAGAAATCTTATTCACACACTTAAACAAAAAAAAATTTCAAGTACTCGCACAATCAATCGAGTAATCGAAACCTATAAAGTCGGGTACAATTTTTGACAATCACTCAGTCTTCTCTTAGACGGGGACCCAAATCGAGTAAAACAAAAGCAAATAAAGAAACGAGTATAAGGAATAAAAGGAATAAACCTTGTGCTAACACGCGTTAAAAAAAAAAGTTTTTAAGTGAGAAAAGCCCTAAAACAAAATTAAAGAAAAAAAGTGACAAATTTATTTAAAGAAAATTTGTTCATATTACGAAAAAAAAAATAATTCAATTAAAAATTGAATTTAAACAACAAATGCCCAAGTGTTTAAATCAAATAATTTACTTAAAAAAAAGTTCAATAAAAAATTTTTGTTAAAAAAAAGAAAATTTAAAAATAATAATATAATTCAACAAAAAATTAACTTTTTGATTTATAAAAACCAGACTGGTTTACAACAGTAAATATTATTAAAAACTACAAAAACAACTACCACAACTTTAGCAGTCCTTATATATACGGAAAAAAGTACGTGTCAAAGATTAAATTTATTTTATAAAAAAATGTTTTATATAAAATTTTAAATTATTAAATATATTTACATATTTAATAAATATTTTTTTTCTAACCATTTTCATTGTGTGAACTTTAAGTGCTGACAGTTACAAAAAAAAAATATTAAAATTTTAATAAAATTTTCATAAAATTTATAATTTATTAACAAGGAACTAATTTAAAGTAATTAAGTATTAAAGCAAAAATAAAATATAAAAATTTAAATTTATAAAAAATTTACATAAATTTGTTAAATATAAAAAATGCGAGTAATTCTTCCCTACAGTTTGAATTTTTTTTGAAAAAAAAAAATGTGTAAACAAAAAATGTCATAAAATTATTTGTTATTGAAAATTTATTTGACATTCATTAAGTTTTTTTTTATTATTATTTATAAAGTTCTTGTTTTGAATTTTAAATTTTAATCAAGTTTTTTTTTCATAATTCCTCACAATTATCGGTGTGTTGTCGGCTTGTCCGCTTGTATTGAAAAGTATGCGTAATTCTGAAGATTGCAAAAAATGTTTCAATGCAGGTTTCTGAGGTCAATATTATTTTATAGTTTAATTTTTAATCTCTATGGAAAATAATGCGTGTATAATGGTATTTAAATATATTAATGTGATTAAATTAGTTTCGTTATTTTGCCAAGAAATATTTGCATCTGATTATAGTTTGCAGCTGAGTAGTAAGAATTTTGGTACCTGGCACTGCCCGATTATAAAATGGTACCAAAAAAGTACCATTCAAACTTTTCCAAATTTATATTTAGTAAATTTTTTATAATTTCATACACTGATATTGAAAATTTGAGTTTTGTTAAATATACTAGCTATACCCAGTGTGCTTTGCTAAACTAAAATCTATATAAATAAGAAGCCCAAGATTTTTGAGGAATCTAGCTTTAACAGTTTCCGAGATATATGCATTTTTGTGTTTAATTAATATGGGATATGCCAAGCCCGCTATTGAAAGTTCGACAAGTTTTAGAATTTTTGCTCTAATAGTTTCTCAAATAAACGAAGTTTTTTTCTTAATTCACTTGGAAAATGCCAATCCGCCCTAATTATGTCCGCCCATTTGCTTCCAAATGGTTAAAGTTCTTTGTACAAAATTCTAAGATTCTAGCTGCAATAGTTTTCTTGATAAATGAATTTTTGTACTTAATTTATATGGGAGATACCACGCCCCTAAAATCAAGTTCGCCAAATTTATTACCCAAATATTCATTTGCATGTTAAAGTTGTTGGAGACAAATTTTAGAAGTTTATCTCTAACAGTTTTTCAGATAAACGAATTTACATATATATTTAATTCATATGGGAGGTGTTAAGCCCCTTTTAGGAAAGTCTGCCCATTTTCCTCATATATATGGACACGGATGTTAAAGTTCTTTGTATGAAATTTTAAGATTCTAGCTCCACTAGTTTCTCAGATAAACGAATTTTAGTATTTAATTCCTATAGTAGGTGCCACTCCCCCTACTGTGCCCCTATTGTCCGCCCATTTTTTATAATAAATATTCACGTTGATACTAAATTTGAGGATTCTATCTGTTATATTTTTTCAGATTTACTAAGTTCAGATTTTCTTTATATGGGAGATGCCTCGCCCACTCTAGCCAGACTGCCCATTTTATCATGTGTTCGTATGGATGCCAAATTTGTTCATACAAAATTTGACGACTCTAACTGTTTTAGTTTCTCAGTTAATGGACTTTTAATATGTTAGCCTATAGTTCCTTCCAGATATACAGGAAGACATAAACGAATTTTAGTATTTAATTCCTATGGGAGGTGCCACTCCCCTATTGCAAGTCCGCCCATTTTTATCCTAAATATTCACGTTGACTCCATCTGCTATATTTTCTCAGATATACTAATTTGAGATTCCCTTTATATGGGAGGAGCCTCGCCCACTATAGCCAGGCTGTCCATTTTATCAACATGTATTCATGTCAATTGTTGTAGTTTCTCAGATATGCGACTTTTAATACGTGTGTGTGGCACTTGAACTTCCAAAAAAAAGGTTCCTTCCAGATATATAGGAAGACATTTCAGGAAAGAAAGAAACATACAAACACACATTGATTTTATATGCATATATGAATTAAGAGAAAATAAAATCTCCACTTTTTATCCACCTAATGGGTAGTTTGGATCCATTCTTCCACCAAATACAGATCATTAGCGCCATGGATATTGGACAATCTCTTACGCTTCTGGCGTATTTTAATGGATAAGTGCTAAAAATTATTTTCATTTAATTCGAATGGCATCGGATGACTTCAGCTGCTTGCAAACAATTTTAAATAATTCTACTTAAGTAGCAAGCTTTTCGGTCGGACAGTCCCGTAATACCTATTTAATCTACCACTTAGTCACCAACTGCCTAGGTGACTAGCTATTTTAACCTGTGTTTGTCCTATGAGGAAATCAAATATCACCCCATTGCTTACTAAGGGACAGACAAAAAGCTTACCTGGTAAAAAACTTACTGAAAACTTTTATTAGGAACTACTTATAACCAGACTATTTAAGAACTCTCCATTGGATAAGTTCTGTGTGAGTTTCCATAAATCTGTAAGGTACCCCCTATAGTTCACATCATTTCATCCCAAATTTTCTTCTATATACACTTTTCAATATTTGTTTTTAATTTTATCTTTACATAAACTGCTTATTTTAATGACATTTTAAATACGTGCAATAAATTAAAATTTGTATTTATTATTTACAAATATTAAAAAAAAAAATTAATACAATTAATTCAATAGTTAGTCAACAATGCAGTTCAATAATCGTATTTTTAATATAAACTTTATTATAAATTTAATTAACACACTCGCACGGAGACATACACACACGTCTATGCATACAAGAACACGTTCGAAAAAGTTTAAAGTCTCATAAATATAAATTAGTTCATAATTTATTGACGGCAAATAGGTATTTTATGAAAATCTTCTTTAAAGTGGGAGTGTGTGCAATATATAACGCCACAGGTATTTCCGTTAATTAAGTTTATTTGCAAGCGGCATTAAATATATTTCATTTTATATATTTTTTTTTTTTTTGCATTTATAAAAAATTGATTTTTGGTTGATAATAAGAAAATAATTTATATTGTTTTTTTCTGTTCAATTAATTTCAAACAATGTTTCAGACAGGTTGAAATTTGTATAAATTTTCTTTTTAAAATGCACTTAAAGGCAGGAAGGAGGAAGTTCTTGAAAATAAATTATTTATTTTCCATAAATATGTGAAAGAATTTTATTGAACTTTTTCTAAAGAAAAGTTGTCTGAATCAGACTTGCTTTTTCTATAGAAAAGTTATCTGAATCAGACTTACTTTTTCTATAGACAAGTTGCTTGAATCAGACTTACTTTTTCTATAGAAAAGTTGTCTGAATCAGACTTACTTTTTCTATAGAAAAGTTATCTGAATCAGACTTGCTTTTTCTATAGAAAAGCTGTCTGAATCAGACTTACTTTTCATATAGAAAAGTTGTCTGGATCTGACTTACTTTTTCTATAGAAAAGTTGTCTGAATCAGTCTTACTTTTTCCATAGAAAAGTTGTCTGAATTAGTCTTACTTTTTCTATAGAAAAGTTGTCTGAATTAGTCTTACTTTATCTATAGAAAAGTTGTATGAATCAGACTTACTTTTTCTATAGAAAAGTTGTCTGAATCAGACTTACTTTACTTACTGAATCAGTCTAACTTTTTCTGTAGAAACGTTGTTTGAATTTGACTTAATTTTCTATAGAAAAGTTGTCTGAATCAGACTTACTTTTTCTATATAAAAGTTGTCTGAATCAGTCTTACCTTTTCTATGGAAAAGTTGTCTGAATTAGTCTTACTTTTTCTATAGAAAAGTTGTCTGAATTAGTCTTACTTTATCTATAGAAAAGTTGTCTGAATCAGACTTACTTTTTCTATAGAAAACTTGCCTGAATCAGACTTACTTTTGCTATAGAAAAGCTGTCTGAATCAGACTTACTTTTCGTATAGAAAAGTTGTCTGGATCTGACTTACTTTTTCTATAGAAAAGTTGTCTGAATCAGACTTACTTTTTCTATAGAAAACTTGCCTGAATCAGACTTACTTTTGCTATAGAAAAGTTGTCTGAATCAGACTTACTTTTTCTATAGAAAAGTTGTGTGAATCAGACTTACTTTTTCTATAGAAAAGTTGTCTGAATCAGACTTACTTTTTCTATAGAAAAGTGGTGTGAATCAGATTTACTTTTTCTGTAGAAAAGTTGTCTGAATAAGACTTACTTTTTCTGTAGAAAAGTTGTCTGAATCAGACTTACTTTTTCTATAGACAAGTTGCCTGAATCAGACTTACTTTTTCTATAGAAAAGTTGTCTGAATCAGACTTACTTTTTCTATAGAAAAGTTATCTGAATCAGACTTACTTTTTCTATAGAAAAGTTGTCTGAATCAGACTTACTTCTTCTATAGAAAACTTGCCTGAATCAGACTTACTTTTGCTATAGAAAAGTTGTCTGAATCAGACTTATTTTTTCTATAGAAAAGTTGTCTGAATCAGACTTACTTTTTCTATAGAAAAGTTGTCCGAATCAGACTTATTTTTTCTATAGAAAAGTTGTCTGAATTAGACTTGCTTTTTCTATAGAAAAGTAGTCTGAATTAGACTTGCTTTTTCTATAGAAAAGTAGTCTGAATCAGACTTACTTTTTCTATAGAAAAGTTGTCTGAATCAGACTTACTTTGTCTATAAAAAAGTTGTCTGAATCAGACCTACTTTTTCTATAGAGAAGTTGTCTGAATCAGACTTACTTTTTCTATTGAAAAGTTGTCTGAATCAGGCTTACTTTTTCTATCGAAAAGTTGTCCGAATCAGACTTACTTCTTCTATAGAAAAGTTGTCTGAATCAGACTTACATTTTCTATAGAAAATTGGTCTGAATCAGACTTACTTTTTCTATAGAAAATTGGTCTAAA